TTTCAAAGCAAACATGACTTGATATAGAATAATTTGTTGATTTAATTAATGTCAAGACAAAAAAAAAAAAGAAATAAAATACTAATTTTTTTGAATAGTTTTATAATTTCTCATAATATCGAGATACGTATCGTATTGTGCCAATATATCGAGATACGTATTGTATCGCAAGATGTGTGTATCGTCCCACCCCTAGATATCAGGGGTAAAATAATGAAAGTACAAGTGGTTGGGACTTCCAAATCACTTCAACACATCCATGGTATTTGAGGCATCAGAGTTTGACTTTGAGATATCAGATTTCAGCTTTAATTTTTTCCCCCTGAGATGTGATACAGTACCTGGGACATACACAGCATTAAACAGAGTCTCCAGTGCCTGCCGCGCTGCCTCCATCTTGGCCAGTTTCTTGTTCTTGGCCGTCCCCATGAAGGTCTGTCCGTCCACCAGAACGGACATCGTGTACAGCTTCTCCTTGTCTACTTCCTGTTCCGACACTAGCTGATACGTCATATTTCTCCGTAATTCGTTCAGGTACATGACTGGGTGTTTGTTTGTTAGTGTGCGAGGCAGAGGAACATTGCTGGCACTATAAACTCCTACAGATGAGGGGTCTCCTTGGTTGCCCCCCATTCCTGGTGTTGGGGGTTCACATTTGATGTCCCCTGGCCCTAACATAGGGGGTTCACATTGGATGCCCCCAAGCCCTGTGGGGGGCTGTGATGTACCTGCTGTTGCTGATGGTCCTGTAAAATTGATTTGGAATTTGATACATATATAGACTCCATGTTGGATTCATTCACCTTCTTGTGCTTTATCTAAACTTTGATTCTATCATGCATCATGTAAAAGATTTTTTGTGTGCATAATATTTCATTACATGTTTACCTTATTTATTAATCAAATTAAAAGATCTCTGTGAAATTTTTATATGAAATTACTGGTAATCATATTAAGTCAATTAAGTTTCTCATATGACCCTCAAAGGTCCATGCTGATACAAATTTGAAAGCACCGTTAGAGACAGTTCTTAACCAAGTAAAAACATATAGTTATGTTATAAGCAACAAAGATCTAGGCAGTCGCCACAATTCAGACATTCTGCCCACCCATTCTGGTGACAGAAGAAAATCTAAGTTCTACTCTGTACTCAGCTTACTGATTTATACCTGTATACAACCCAAAGTATGGATGTGTGTGTTAATTAACACAAGTCATACAACATTAAATCAGCAAACTGAGAACAGACATAGAAGTTGGATTTCTACTGTCCCAGCAGAGCATAAATCACAGAGGCCAGTAACATACATTGCTTGTTTTTTGAGATCCCTATAAATACAGTGAGAAGTATATATATTTAAGGATCACAAAAAATCAAGCAATGCAAGCTACCAGCCCCTATGGCATAAATATTTGAATTGTGTCACCGAATGTTTGTCATTGACTTTGTTGTTTATTGTCATGGCCCAAGGTTATATCGTCAATCCACCCCCTCAAAGACAAAAAGCAGATCAGGCAAGTTTACACGATCAGAAAACAGTTCAGACAGACAGACAGTCAGACATACATACATCAGTCTATCTTCACCGTCGGTATAACCATATAACTTGGTTGACTCTGCTTTTATGCTTTTGAGGGCGGCACATTCGGGATGAAATTTGGGAGAAACGTTTCTCACAAATGTGGTATATAACGTCAGACCAATGGTTTCCATGACAACTCACCGACCCATTCTATCCGTCTGGAAGCTTGCTGAGAGAGATTTCATACAAGCGGGATAATTTTGGTAACATACGCAAGCTTACATTGATCCTGTCAGAGCCTCTACCTTTCAGGGAAAATAAAATAAACCTGACAAATTAACCTTTTTTCAATGATTTGCACTTCCAGTTGTTAAATTCATTTTTTAAGATTTTCAGAAAGTCACATGCAGTTACATCACTGTAAAATAAATGCTCATCTTCATTATGAAATCATACCACACCAATATTGAACCCAATTGCCGGATAGGGGTCTAAAATAGCTCATTTTGAATTTCCTAAAGGGAAATAAATCATTTACAATGCTAAAAAATATATCTAGCTTAAATGAATAACACACAAGTCATCAATTTTATCAATAAAGTGAAAGTAAATGATAAACAGGCATAAATCCTACCAGTCACCTTTGTGAGCATTACAACACTCCCAAAGCTCACAGGTAGGATTTTTGCCTGATTATCATTTACTTTCACTTTATTGATAAAATTGACGAATCCTGTGTTTCAGTCTTTAGTTCTAGTCTTTCATTTACCACAGGCACCTAGGTGCCTGTGAAGCTGGCATGCTTAGTTATTTAGAGGTTTTTGTTTTTTTTTTAGTAAAAAAAAATTTACCGAAATTATTGGAATTTGAATCGCTTGTTTTATATTGGAAATTATAGCTATTTTTATCTCATAAATGTTTTCTCAGCAACAGATGTAAAATGTATATATTTATGCTCCCTATATTTAGATGCTGCAAGTGTACAAAATTGAGGGAAAAAGAAATATTTACCTTCCATTCTAGTTTCTACTTCGAAACTTGCTTTTCACTGAAAGGTGCGTTCGATTTTGCAAGTCGTACATAGAAATATTCGTTCGAAAATCTTTAGACCAGTCTTTTAAAGGCTATTTGAGAATTTAGTGTTCCTGTACGTTTTCAACAAAATCCAAAATGATTACCCTGGTAATTACCACTTCTAGCTTAAATCAAATATCTATAAAATTAAGAATTTTATTTAACTTGAATGTAAGAATGAAGCCTGCATTGCTTGACAACTGATTATTTTTAGTGTAAAAGAAGATTACAAAGAGTGATTAATCTGGAAAAAATCCATATTTAAACAAAACAAATTTATCTAATATGTGAAGAGGGCATAAAATAGGGACCCACAAGTTCCACAGGTGAGATCAGGTGCCTAGGAGGAGTAAGCATCCCCTGTGGACTGGTCATATCCACCTTGCACCTCATTCTTACATTCAAGTTAAATAAAATTCTTAATTTAATATATGGATTTTGTTGAAAACGTACAGGAACACTAAATTCTCAAATAGCCTTTAAAAGACTGGTCTAAAGATTTTTGAACGAATATTTCTATACACGACTTGCAACAATCGAATACATGTATTAAAATCCTGACCCACTCCTGAATTTCTTAAGAAATAAGGTATCATTTTTAAACATCTATCGGGATATAAATAGGGGTTGGTCACGAGATTAAATTCCATAAAGCCCGAAGGGCTTTATGATGAATTTAATCTTGTACCAACCCGTATTTATAGCTCGATAGGTGTTTTGAAATACCTTATTACTTATATTTACATTTGTGACTTATTCACTCTTTACATTTGCCTGATTGTGACTTTTCACGTGTGAAATGCATTATTTTTCAAACCCAACGGCATGTATGTACTCCACTGAATGCGCGTCGACCCTTTACGACATCACTGAGAAATTATGTCAAACGTTTATCCATACACACATCTATGACCTTTGACCCCGTACCTGTATTTATACAGTTATAGATACGCGTTGCTTTCAGTAGTGTTATATAAAGGAAAACATTTGCAAATGTAAATATATATCTAAAACCTTCAAATCATTGAACATTCTCTATATATCTAGGTACATAAGATACAAAGTGTTAATATTTTGAACACCTCTGATATGTCAACGTGATTTGGAAATCCCAATTACTTAACTTTTTAGGCATTTTACCCTTAATATATCAAATTCCTGGATACCTCAAAGTAACTGTTGTTCCTTGGTCCCTCTTGCACGAGTGACATTAAATGTAAAACTAACTTTCGACAGCCTTAGAATTCAAACAAAACAAACATTTCAATAGGTCCATATTTTTATTATTTTTAGTTTCATTTTTTTTTTTACAACCTTCAATACTAATATGTAGAAATGGACGACAACGCTTGTATGCTATTACAAGTTTTCTTATAGTAACAGTTCTAGGACTGTTGTCCACACTACACAGAAAGGTCCCCTATATAGATCAGTTACAATCTGTACAATGTTTCTCTAAGCCAAGAGAATCATAAACATGTATCTATTGCAGTTTTGGAGATCAGAACCAGAAGCTAGTTCAGCTACAGATTGTCAAGACTGTCTGTTTGTACAGATACAATGTAAGTAAACTGCCATATGTTTTCACTCCTTAAGAATTTATAGTCCTGTAGAAACAACACAAGCTGCCTGTATAAGCTTAACACTGTTGACTTGTACATCTCAAATCTGGTCCAACTGAAACACAAAAAGAATGAAATATCATTATTATCAACCAACTATTTTACATAAAAGTACTGATTTCCTCTTTCAGATCTGAATCCTAATTGTGAATTTGCATTCATATTCCCACCTACCTACCCTAATAAGACTGCCTTAAAATTTTGCAGTGTTAACTTTTCTCACAATAAAGCAATATTTCATTTAGTATAAACAGTGATAAACTACTTGCAGTAAATCATTATTACAGCATACAGCAAGGTAAATCTCATCAACTCACTGCAGTTAGTCTGAATAAATCTGATCTTTGTTACGCTCTTAAATTCTGATGGTCGCTGTACAAAGTACAGCAATCATCAGAATTTCTGAGCAGAACGAAGAACTGATTTTAATCAGATTGTCACTGTAGTAAAACATGTTCACAATAAACAAATAGGTAAATGTGATGACTCACTAAATCTTCAGCGTCATCACCCTCGGCCGGTGCCTGGGACGCCTCCTTCTTCTCCTCTTCCTCCGTAGTGAAGGCCTTCGCTTCCTCAAGCGTCACTCGGCTGTCCTCACTTTCTGTCTTAGTGATCAAACCAAGCTTCTCTAAATACAAATACAACTTCTCATTAATCATTTTCTCTTAGTCTCTTTTCCTCTGGCCCCCTCCCCCTCCATGACCTGCCCATGAATAGCATTTGCATACTGGACATAGGCCAACTCATTGTTACTATCCCAAGTCATGAAAATTCTATCATCCTTCACTTGATTACAAAAGAGTAACTGTGTTGTTGTGACTTCTATAACAGTGTTTTTCTTGTTTAAGAATAATCACATATCTTCCTCTTTCAACGTTAAGTTTATGGGCTGATTTGCCAAAAACCTTTTTATTTTTTATAGTAATATTACTACAGTATCTGAAGCTTTACCATTTACAAATAACCCCAAAATATAGTAACAGACTAAATCTAAATAACAAATCCAAATGTTGGGGTACACAAATCAAATACAATATACAAAATGTACTAAAAGACACAGCACAATAATTAATGTGGAAAAACAGAAAATGGTGATTGACTGTTTAATACTTTACCCAGTTGTAAATGATTACAGAAAAAAACTTTTAAATCTTCTACCACATTTAAGTAAGCTATATTTATTTCATTAGCAATGAGAAAACCTGAATTTTACCGTCTACAATCAATTCCCAGAAATCTCGTCTTCCTTTCTCTATCAGGAAATCCTTGAACTTTTTCATAAAATTATTGTACAGTGTGGGCTCTGACTTCTGAATAAAATTAAAACAATTATTATTATATGTTTACAAATATTATCATTTTTAATTTCAAGGTCAAATTGAACCACGTAAAAGGCTAGTACTTGAAGAAAGCTATTGCTCTGATAATTCATGATTACCTTTACAGATTGTTCCCGCAGGGCTTTTAAGCAGTCTGATGCCTTTCCATAAAACTGGGGTCCGAAGGAATCTGTCACTAGCTGTTCCACACGCTGCTGCATCTGTTTAGAGGCTGAAAAGATAAAAAATGGCACAGTGCGTACAGTGAGACAGTTATAATTTTTACAACTTACGAATGTTAGTGGATTCAAAACTGAATATAGAGATTTATTAATTGTGCCTAATGAGGATTTAATAAATACTAGTAGCTGACCTTCCTCGAATCTATCCGCGTCTCTCTGGTTAATGAGTGTGATAAAATCATCCACTGGAGTCACTGTGCCAACCTATAATGTCAAATAAAATGCATAAAATTATCACTAATAATTTCAACATAAAATGTTCATGAAAAAAGAAAACATTAGACACTAGAGTAACATTGTTTAGCAATAAAATACCGTAAAAGTGGAATATTCAGTAAGATGAAAATAAATTTATTTAACTTGAAAAATTGGTATTTGATTTTAGAGGAAAGAGATCTCAAGATACCTAGAAATATAATGGTAACCTTCCGTAAGGATATTGTTAGCAATATTTAATTTTAGCGATCTCTATACCCTTGCTAAAAATACCAACATTGAATCCTCTCTAAATTGTCTGCATTATACACTCTCACCTCTGTGACATCTGCCTTTGTCATGCCTGCTAAGCCACCTCCCAGGTCATCATCTAACTTAATCTTCTTCGATGACGGCTCCTCCTCTTCTCTGAAACAGTAATTTTCAATAAGTATTACAGTTACTTTAATTTTCAGTGAATAGAGAAGTGAAGAGTACACTAGCGCAGCACATGGATACTGACTTTAACAACAATACATTTTCCTGTATTTAAAGTTTAGCATATGAAATGAATTCATAATTTTTATTTTTCTTTTGAAAGTTCTGACATCCCATTTAAGGTTGGTTTGCAATAACATAAGATGTGGCAAGATAAATTCATTGATGACAGATTATCTTAAATTTTGGACAGTTATGGTATTGATATTTGTAATGAGTTTGGACAGGTACTCACTTTTGTTTAAACATATTCTCTCCTGTTTTGTCCTCCTTCTTCTTGACGACTTCTAATTTAAACAGCTCCTTGATCTTGTCACACTGGGCCTCGCATCGCGTCACGACTTCCTGGGGAGGCTTCAGGGAATTCGCTATCAGGGGCGATAACTCAGGAAGAGGTTCGTGTGGTTCTAAAGCGCGATGTTGTAGACACTGTATACAGAAATTATAAACACCAATAAACCTGGTTTATGATATGATTTTCATTATTAGGTTATTGATGGGAAAATTTTTTGTTAAATCTAAATGATACCTGATAAAGTCTTTGAAAATAAGGATTAAATATTAACTTGGGTTTTAATGCTTCTGTTTTTTCTCCATCTTCATCTCTGAAAAAATGAATGAATCACGAAACCTTAATGCAATCCTATTTTATGCTAATTTTGTAGAACAGAGATATTTTCTGGTTGTTAAAGAAGCAATTTATGTACTAAATACATCACTTGAAGAATTTTTCTCATATTTTGTGACATTCTCTGAATGTGCAATTCTCTAAATCTTGATTTATGATACTCAAGGATCTCAAAGGTATTCAAGATATAGGTTTATGAGATACCAAAGTTCAACTGTGGCTGAGGTTCTGTAAGAGAAATCTGTACTTACTCTGCAGCTTGTGAGAGATCTGTTTCATTAATTAACTCATTTATGGCCTCTAGTTGTGCATCTGAAATATTCAACAACACAAATACAGTGTACCGGCCTCATTGCATACATATATTTTCCCATCCATATGGGGTATCTTTTTTTATATAAACATTACCTTTTAACTTTTACAATTACCTGTTAGTTTTTATTCCTTTATTTACCTGTGGGTTTATACTTTTTGTTTGCCTGTGTTTCCCCTTTCAGTGGCAGTGAACCAAATGTGTACTGTCTAATGTCCTCCATGAAAGGCAGCTCTACATAAATCAGGCACTGAAAAAAAATATTCAGAACTATCAACTTTATAGTTTTTTTTTTTAGTGACTAATTCATGCATCAAGATAACATAAGATCAAAAGATTAAGATTATCCATTAGAAATGCTTTTGATAAATTTAAGTAAATGTACAATAAATGCTTTATTCTTACTAAATTGGTACACATTTTAAGTGTTTGGTATATTGAGTTTATGACCCCTCCTATAAACCTGACTGGGTTAGGTTACCTCGTAAGAAGATTTTATAACGCACATTAAAGGTCTGTCCCTCCTTACCTCATAAGAAGACTTTATGTGTGGCATCAGGCACCCCAGTTTGGGGGCTGTGGCAGCACTGTACACTTTCCTGACAATCATAGCCATATTAGTTTCATACAAGGCATTAATTACGGCAGAAAGGGCCACCACTGCAGCCTAAATAAGAATATAAATGTAAAATTATCAAATAAAGAAATACAGTGTATGTTCTTGCCATGATGTTGACAGTAAGAGATTATAAAAGCGGTTTATTGTATGTATATAGAAGTCTGTATGTTGTTTGGTAAGTGTCCAGGAGTAACCCAGGTCCTGGGGATAATCTAAACCTAACATTAGTAGAGGCTCACGATAATCTTACAATCTGTCTTCTTGGTGACCAGAAGTAAACTTAAGACCGAGTTATGAAATGTTTAAAATGGTCACAATTTTCTAAGATAACCCTCATATTACGCATTTTACATTCAAATTAAAAGAAAATGAAGTTTGAAACCTTTGCTACAATAGCTCTCTTAAATCTACAAGTTGACATGTATTCTGAATTTTGTGAAATAGTTGAATCAGAAGTTATCATAATGTGTTCTTTCTGCGAACCTTACCTCATCATCTTTGTCGGCCACAACATAATGTGTGTTGTCTCCCATGAAATGATGTCTCTTTATCTGTCAAAAGAACATTACTCTGTATTATACAGGTACTGTCAAACCATGCTATCTCAAACTCAACAGAACAGAAAACATGTGATATCAGAAAATTCAAGATATTCAGAGCAAAATACTTAGTTCTTGGGACTTGCAAAACACTTTGACAGTGGTTCTGAAAACTAACTTGAGCTTTCATCTGAGTAATTTAAAAATATCTGTCCAAAAATGAAACCACTGAAAGTTCTTCAAAGGAAAAAATTATACAAGTATTTACTGTCATGGAAAGTCCACTAATTTCTTACATTTTCTGCCTTAGTGAAGCCGAGAGTCTTTAGGCACTTTTCTGCCTTGTACTTCATGTTGAGTTTGTCGTCCTCCGACATTGGAACTAGCGTCGTCCCATATCTGTGACCTGAGACAGATAAACTAAATTAATTTATAGAATGAATCAAAATATAGATTTGGTACATTAATATTTAAGCATTTGCATCTAAAATTTGATATTTGAGGTAAAATGTTAATAATCCAGAACTGATCTACTGTAGAATCATTTAAATTTCCAGAGGTTCAGTCCTTGTGGGAAAGCAAATTTTTTAATGGTTTGCATGGACTTAATTTCATGGATAACTCGTGGATACAATTGTACAACTTATAGATTCAATGGATCAATACACAATAAAGGAATTGTTTGTGGGGATGTGAATTCTTGGACTAGAGTGATCCACAAAAAGGAGGAATATTGATCTCCCACTATCAACGATAATTCCACAGTATAAAGTGGACAGTGAACATGCTGATTTTGTGGAAAAGAATGTTTTTATTTTTTTTTCATAATTGAGACCGATTCTCTTGAAGTAGAACATATAACTTAGATTGACCTTCCACGATATCCTCTTTCTCCACCTCTGTTTCCTCCTCGTCGTTTTTGTGGTACGTTCTCAGCGTGTCTATCGCCGCGTCCTCATCCTTGGCGTACACCTTCTTAAAGCTCTTCACTTTAAAGTCCTTTATCTGTTGTACACCACAGGGTATTAGATATAAAACTGCATTCAATGTATTATATAAGCAGACAGGTATTTGACCTAGTTTACCTTGATGTATTTGCAGTTATTTGACCTACTTTACCTTGATGTATATGACCTAGTTTGCCTTGATATATGAGCAGACTTTACCTAGTTTATCTTGATGTAAAAGCAGTTATATGACCTAGTTTACCTTGCACATGAGCTCTGACTTGACTTAGTTTTTCTTACCTTGATATAAGAACAGACAGGCATCTGACCTAGTTTACCTTGATTTAAGAACAGACAGGTATCTGACCAAGTTTACCTTGATGTAAGAACAGATAGGTATCTGACCTAGTTTACCTTGATGTAAGAACAGACAGGTATCTGACCTAGTTTACCTTGATTTAAGAACAGACAGGTATCTGACCTAGTTTACCTTGATGAAGGAACAGACAGGTATCTCACCTAGTTTACCTTGATGTAAGAACAGACAGGTATATGACCTAGTTTACCTTGATGTAAGAACAGACAGGTATCTGACCAAGTTTACCTTGATGTAAGAACAGACAGGTATCTGACCTAGTTTACCTTGATGTAAGAACAGACAGGTATCTGACCAAGTTTACCTTGATGTAAGAACAGACAGGTATCTGACCTAGTTTACCTTAAAGGTACTTGGACACAGATTTGAAGTTAATATTTTCTCATTTTTTCTGTAAAATGTCACGAATTATATATTTTAATAGCATTTCACACAAAAATGAATTAAAAATCTTATTTCATTTAAAAGTTATTAAAACTTTAAATTTTTTGGCGGATTTGATTGACACATCCTTGCACTTTCACAAATTTTAACTTTGTTCTTAATCCTTAGGAAAAGTGGCAATTTTGATGTGTTTTAATGAGAAATATTAAAAGTTTTATCAAGAAAAATAATTTTATTCAGAGTAGAAATGTTAGAAAGCAAAACACCTTCACAAGTATCGTCATTCCGAACTAAGAGATGCGTACAGAGTTTAGCAAATCGAGCACGCTCGTGTTATGTACACAGTTTTTGTAAACAGGGCTCGAGTTCTGTTATTGTTTATATTTAGAATTCACCGGGTGTGTTCAATCGTCACAGTCTGCTTACCACAACTGCACGGACTGACAATATATTGTGTGTTTGTTTTGCTTTCGAACATGTCTACTCTGAATTTTCTGGATTATAGTATTAATATTTTTCATTTATACAAAACGAGATTGCCACTTTTCCTAAGGATTAAGAATAAATAAAATTTGTGAGAGTGCAAGGATATGTCAATCAAGCCCGCAGAAAAATTTGAAATTTCAATATCTTTTAAACGAAATAAGATTTTTAATTAATTTTTGTGTGAAATGCTATTAAAATATATAAGTCGTAATATTATAGAGAAAATAATAACTTCAAATCTGTGTCCAAGTACCTTTAATGTAGGAACAGACAGGTATCTGACCAAGTTTACCTTGATGTAAGAATAGACAGGTATCTGACCTAGTTTACCTTGATATAAGAACAGACAGGTATCTGACCTAGTTTACCTTGATTTAAGAACAGACAGGTATCTGACCTAGTTTACCTTGTAGGAACAGACAGGTATCTGACCTAGTTTACCTTGATGTAAGAACAGACAGGTATCTGACCAAGTTTACCTTGATGTAAGAACAGACAGGTATCTGACCTAGTTTACCTTAAAGGTACTTGGACACAGATTTGAAGTTAATATTTTCTCATTTTTTCTGTAAAATGTCACGAATTATATATTTTAATAGCATTTCACACAAAAATGAATTAAAAATCTTATTTCATTTAAAAGTTATTAAAACTTTAAATTTTTTGGCGGATTTGATTGACACATCCTTGCACTTTCACAAATTTTAACTTTGTTCTTAATCCTTAGGAAAAGTGGCAATTTTGATGTGTTTTAATGAGAAATATTAAAAGTTTTATCAAGAAAAATAATTTTATTCAGAGTAGAAATGTTAGAAAGCAAAACACCTTCACAAGTATCGTCATTCCGAACTAAGAGATGCGTACAGAGTTTAGCAAATCGAGCACGCTCGTGTTATGTACACAGTTTTTGTAAACAGGGCTCGAGTTCTGTTATTGTTTATATTTAGAATTCACCGGGTGCGTTCAATCATCACAATCTGCTTACCACAACTGCACGGACTGACAATATATTGAGTGTTTGTTTTGCTTTCGAACATGTCTACTCTGAATTTTCTGGATTATAGTATTAATATTTTTCATTTATACAAAACGAGATTGCCACTTTTCCTAAGGATTAAGAATAAAATAAAATTTGTGAGAGTGCAAGGATATGTCAATCAAGCCCGCAGAAAAATTTGAAATTTCAATATCTTTTAAACGAAATAAGATTTTTAATTAATTTTTGTGTGAAATGCTATTAAAATATATAAGTCGTAATATTATAGAGAAAATAATAACTTCAAATCTGTGTCCAAGTACCTTTAATGTAGGAACAGACAGGTATCTGACCAAGTTTACCTTGATGTAAGAACAGACATGTATCTGACCTAGTTTACCTTGATATAAGAACAGACAGGTATCTGACCTAGTTTACCTTGTAGGAACAGACAGGTATCTGACCTAGTTTACCTTGATGTAAGAACAGACAGGTATCTGACCAAGTTTACCTTGATGTAAGAACAGACAGGTATATGACCTAGTTTACCTTGATGTAAGAACAGACAGATATCTGACCAAGTTTACCTTGATGTAAGAACAGACAGGTATCTGACCAAGTTTACCTTGATCTAAGAACAGACAGATATCTGACCAAGTTTACCTTGATGTAAGAACAGACAGGTATCTGACCAAGTTTACCTTGATATAAGAACAGACAGGTATCTGACCAAATTTACCTTGATATAAGAACAGACAGGTATCTGACCAAGTTTACCTTGATCTAAGAACAGACAGGTATCTGACCAAATTTACCTTGATATAAGAACAGACAGGTATCTTGACATCAGAGGTGACCTCCAGCTGGACTTTCCATGGAGTTGGCCGGACTTGTCTCATTTGGAAGTAGCTCAGAGCTGGTAGTGCCTCACTGCAAGGTGAATGTTCAATTACAGCTAAGTACTTTTATGTAAAATTATACCTGTTTATTCTATTAATAATCCCCTACCTGAAGTTGTAACACTCGCCCTCCACTTCCATATACTTTGATGTAAAATTATTCCTGTTTTTTCTATTTATAACCCCCTACCTGAAGTTGTAACACTCCCCCTCCACTTCCTCTAGGATCCTCCTCAGCATGGCCTCTCCCTCCCGCTGCTGACGGGTCTTGGCCTTCTGATGTCCGTTAGCGGCACCGCTCGGTCCCGGCTTCTCACTGTCATCATCCTCATCATCGTCAATATCAGGCCCTCTGTAAACATACAATACTGTATAAATGGAAAATTTTGCCCCATTTTATTTTCTCGTATTTCCCCCCATCCTCAGTTGGTAAGACTTTAAAATGAGGGGAATTCAAAGAATACATTGTAATTTCTTAAAAAGAACTTTGACTAGGTGAATAAAATGTGGCAATATTTGTCTATACATGTATCAGGTTCTTTGTAAATGTATCTTTTTCAGGTCATATGGTATCATATGTTAACATTGAACTTGTAAACACTCAGAACCTCTATAATGACAAACAAAATTTTAACCACTTTAATTAAATCCTATACAGTTAACAGAAACATCTTGTCACATTTGTAAGATTCATTATATATAGGTTCCTCTAAAAATCTGAATTTCTGCCCATACTCCTCATTCTCCGACACTTACATGACATTGAGTTCAGTCCCTGAATTCTTGATCCCGGCGATAATGGTATCAATCTGGTCTTTACCAAACTCTCCTCCCAGGTCTGACAGCAGAATTAGTCGCTTTGATCCAAAACCCTTCTTCCCTCTGAAATAGGCAGAAAATTCTCTTAACATATATTTCATGATGTGCCAGTTTGATATACCGGTAAATGGTTTACATGCTGTAGAAAGGAAATGGCTGTGTAAGTAAAATTTTTGCAGATTTCAAGTGTTTATCATGAAATATTCCATTCCAATGTCTTTAGCAGAACCCAACAACTCTTAATTTTCAAAAATAAAATCCTCCTGGAATAAGATATTACTTAAAAATTGTTTAATAAATTTTAAACTCAATGTCCTCACATCAAAAATTTGAATAGAATTTAGGATTGTTTTAGTCATAATTAAGTTAACAGGACTTTGCAGTTTTATATTTTTGAATACCTGTCACCCTCATAGCAGGTAATTTCAAGAATTTGTATTAAAAGCATATATTTCATGATGTGCCAGTTTGATATACCGGTAAATGGTTTACATGCTGTAGAAAGGAAATGGCTGTGTAAGTAAAATTTTTGCAGATTTCAAGTGTTTATCATGAAATATTCCATTCCAATGTCTTTAGCAGAACCCAACAACTCTTAATTTTCAAAAATAAAATCCTCCTGGAATAAGATATTACTTAAAAATTGTTTAATAAATTTTAAACTCAATGTCCTCACATCAAAAATTTGAATAGAATTTAGGATTGTTTTAGTCATAATTAAGTTAACAGGACTTTGCAGTTTTATATTTTTGAATACCTGTCACCCTCATAGCAGGTAATTTCAAGAATTTGTATTAAAAGCATTGATATTTCAAAATAGTATAGCAACATTAAACTATTCATGTTGAGTAGACATAAAATTAATAAGAATCCTTGATTAAAAAAAATCCACCTGTGAATGATTTTTTCATCGATTTCTGTCGGGCAGACACATGGACTGAGTGAGCACTATGCACAGTGTATCAACAATTTCATCTTTTTCATATTGTAAATACTGTAAACATTTTAGATTTGGCTGTGTATTCTTTTTATAACTTGTTCAAAAATCGATTTCCGCAAAATATTGTACAAGCTAAATATAATACATTTACAGTATGTGAATGAAATAGAGTACCATGATTACAAGATGTATTCATTAAGAGTGTGCTATTTACGTACTGTGTTGCATTCACCAGATGATCCATGGCAACCACTAGTGCATCAATAACTGAACAAAATTAAGGGAAAGTATATGCTTAATAGACAAAGGAAATAAGTGTCTTGTAACCTTTCATTTTTTTGCAAAATATATCTCATCTGAATTTTTTTTATCATTACAGTTATCAACAAAAGGATACAATCTGCAGACATATTGCTGGGCGTTATGTCATTCTGAACCTGCTGAAGGAAGTCGAAGTCAACCACTCCGAGGGGCCGTACAATGCTGATATTCTCGTAGCTTTCACCGTCAGCCAGTGGGTTATCAGTGGTTGGCGTCCCAAACAAAACCAGACTGACTTCATCTTTGGATTCTGAGAACATCTGAAAAGATATAAAAACACTGAATTTTCTTGTAGAAATAATGATTTCTTTGCAATATATAAAAGCTATGGAAATAAATATCTGAAAAAATAACTACAAAAAAATTTACCAACTGCCATCCTTCAAATGGGAATGCAATTCCTTGACTATAGGTCTGTGTTTCAATCATTTCAAAGCAGTTCTGGGTTTTAATTACTAGACGGAATGTTTTATAGTTAAAATGATAAATCATTAAATGTCCTACAAACCAGGTTTAACAAATAAATTAATTCTGTGTATTAGCAATGTAGTAAAGAAGAAATGGGAGATAACTCTAACTCAGTGCATATTCTATGTTCTGAACATAAACAGGTGTGTAAATCTGAAGCGAGAAAAAAAAAAATTGAAAGATTGTTAAATTTTCATCTTTAGATGGATTTTTTTTTTTTTAGGTTAAAGGGCATACAGGACCTCAAAAAGACTTTTAAGAAGTTTTTAATTTGGTAGTTATTTTCAGTGCAAATCCTTTTGTTTTCTTCTAGCTGCAGAACTGTAGCTCTCCAAAAAAAAATATATTGACAGACTGGGGAGCTACAGTGCCACCCATTGAAAAAAGTGTATATTTATTGCACACAACAAAAAGGTCGCTGTTTGTCAATTCATTTCTCTATGATTTTAAAACTTTCAGCTCAATATATTACTAACCATGATCCTTACATATTTTTTCATTGATTCCACAACAAAACTTTCAATATGACAGTATACTTCATAGAGGAGTAAGGAATTTATTGATATCTATTTTTTTTTTACAATTGAAGTCAGAATGTACAGTAATTAATGCAGAAGTGAGTGCAACTTTTTTGCGCAATAAATATACAGGATTTTTTTTCTATGGGTGGAACTGTAGCTTTTCTGGTTGTCCATCCCATCTTTTTTTCAGGCCAGTGAGCTACAGATCTACAGCTATTCTTCTTCAAAATCATTTCGGAGTGATTTTGCAATTTTTTGCTACATTGCAAGTATATAGGAGGCATTCTAACTGTTGTTAGGGCTTGTCCTGAGACACAGTTAGATTATTCTAACTAAGACTAAGATTTTAATTAGATACATGCACATGATACATGCAAGTAAATTCCATCACCTAGTGACCTACATCCCATTAAAATGTTTGGGTTTTTTTTCATTTAACTTTTCAAATGAAAAAAAATCGAATTTACAAACGATCCATTTTTTTTCTTTGGAGTCAAATGACCGGTTTAAATTTGCAACATAAAACTTGGCAACATATCGTCAACATAGACTGACGATTCACTGCCGGATTTATGGCCACTCGAGGATAATGTTTACAACAAACACAAAGACAACCTTCCTCTGTAGTATCATCTTGATGGCATCCACCGCTGTCTGCAATGGGGTCTCCTCACCCGGGGGTGCATTATTCATAGAAGGACCAATGTCCAGCACAATCGCTATGGCTTCCTGAAGTAAAAGAATGCAATAGTACACAACATCGCAGACGGTATTTCAAAGTCACTTAAAATTCAATTTTTTACCAAATATTATTTCATGACAGTTCCTCATAAAGATTGTATACTTGTTTATCATCAACTTTAATATTTACCAAAAAAGTATAATTCAAAACATGTTAAATATTTGGGAAAAAATAATAAAATCTAAATCAGCTTTACTTTATTTGCCGCCATGACCGCCAACTTCCGGTTTTTCGTTTTCAATAATTCGTTCATAACTGTATTCGCGTATTTCTCTTTCTTTTGACGAACTTTTTTTGCTTGTTCCTCTCCTATACGATTAATACCCTTCAATTTTCTCGAACACATATTGGAAGTTAATCTTCTTATATTGCTTATCATGTAGGTCTAACAGTATTTCAAATTTATTTACAAAACGGTAACTATCATTAAAGGGTAACAACTCATGAACCTCTGACAATATTTGCTTTTATGTTATAATATTATTATTATTGAATCTCATCCTAAGTTTCAATAAATTAAAGAATTCAATTCTATCTTATTTTAAAAAGATTTTTTTAATTTTATGTTTTTAATCGTTTATTATTTGTTTTAATTTCTATCCTGGTCACGGCACCAATTTAGGCCGACATTTTTCCACGAGTGATCATTCAATTATATATAATTTTCAAATCATACCAGTATTTAAATCATTTTAGTATTAATTAATCATAGCCGAACGAAGTAAAAGTGTTTACCTTCCTTTGTATGAGACTCATTTCGGATGAGTTTTCAGGCTAAAACAGATTCACCCTACATATGAAAGCAATAAGTCCAACACTGACAAATGCATGAATGATGAATATGAATGAAATGATCTTTTGTCCTTTATGTAGAATAATTGATCTTAATTTGTTGCCAATTTAAAGCTTTTGAGCAGCAAAATTTTCAAATTCCATGGTTTTTATAATAACATCGTTTGGAACATCATCTCAAGCCACGGTGAGTCCACATTATAACTCTCCCCAGTGCATTTCGATCCTGTTGCAACGATTTGTTCCAAATACGACGTATTTCTTTAGATCGTATTTTGACTGACAGGCTTCCTATCAAATGTTAGACTAGTGTATTATACTGTATCCCGTGGCTCAGTGCGAGTGTAACAAGGCGACAGAGGATGCATGCTCGTCCTAGGCACCTAACTTGTGAACAGGATCCCAGGAAATACCAGAATTGGGATCTAGGAATGGTAAACATTCCCTGTTGACCGGTCACACTTGCAATGAGTCCCACATATTGAACAAGTAGTCAAGTTCACTGTTCAGTACTAAATCAAAGGTCTAACGATTGGTTTGAAACAAGTCAGCTAAAATACCACCCAATTGATCGGTTACTAGTATATTTGTTTACAAAGACAAAATAACGACTATAGAATTTATACAATGTTAATTGATGAAATCTCTGTAACATCAACTAATCTTTGGGTAGCTTATAGCTTCATGCTCCCTAGGCAAGGTACCATGGGTACAAAGCTATAATTACCAAAAATACTGCATGTGTATATTTCTAGTATTTCCCAAAACTTGCCCTAACACAAAGATACAGTCCTTCAATTTAAATTAAAATAATGAAAATAATAAACTACAGTTAGAAGATTATTTGATTTATGACTGGTGTTTGAGATTAATTGAATGTTTTGTTTAATATTAATACGCAGTACTGAATATACATATATCTGTAAACGAGGCAGCCTATTGACAGACAAGTTGAGAAAAGAAAAACATCATCAGACTCGTTCAAAGTCATCATTTCGCAAGTTCTATGGTCGATTCAATGACTTTGTGATGTTGTCAGCAAATGTACAATCTATCATTACGTCAAATGCCAACTGACGTTTTTCAGATTATTTGAATTGTCTAGGATCAGGACAAAGAGCACACGCCGGGTATGCACGGTCGGCAGGGAATGCTTACTACGCCATGGCACCTAATCTCACTTCTGATGTTTAAAATGTCCGTGTTTGCTCTGCTACCGATTAGTTTTGTTTGAATAGACTTTTGAGACCCTCCCCCTTGCTTGAGTCCCCCCCCCCTTGCTTGTTTTCATATTGATACAAGCGAACATTTTAGTTGACTACTGGTCTCAATTCAACAACTTTTAAAATTGTAATTTAATTAACTTAAATTGAAATTAATACGAAAGGGATTGCCAATTTCCTACAAAATTAGTACTAATTATAGAAGTTTAATTCGCACTTTGATATAAACAGGAACAAAGAGACCCTTTATTTCCTTGTGTAATAAACATATCGTATAGCAAATAATCCACGTAAAACCCAGAATAATGCTCACATTTATCCGCTTTATCTTTAATAATTATTTCATGATTATGAATAACAAAAATATTTCAACTTGCAACAACAATGTATACAGCTCCAATATAGGAGCCGCCAGAAACTGGCACGATCAATAAATGGATATTCTCTCATTGTTTCCTCCATGATCATGACCTAGATTCTATACTGTGATATACCGGGAAAATGTATCTATGTAATGAAATAAAAAAAATCAAATAAAAAGGACGAATTTAAAATGTGTCAGAAATGACGCGAACACTCACAACACAACGTAGGAATATCAAATGAAACATATTACATGAATTCTATAAAAATGGAAATAATTGTGCTTTCAGTAGAACAACCATGCAGGTAATGAATTCTCTTGAGAGAAAAATATGGTTAAATTAATGGCGCTCCAACGACTGAACCCAGTGACGAAAGGTTTTTGTCATTTTTTCACGCGTGCGTAGATATCATTTCCTGTTGGTACATCGACCACAGGGTTTTCCGACATACCCTCTGTCGGCAGTTTTGTCTCATCTAAAGCCTCACTATCACAGTTTTCCCCTGAATCTGAAACAATTTCAGATAACCTTCGGATGGCAGCCCTGGAATAAGTTTCAGTGGCTTCAATCATATGGGTGACCCGATCTATCCAACCACTCTTCCAAGATTTCGAGCGCTTCGGGTCTAAGAAACGTAATTTTTCTCTGTTCTCTTTACTTTCTGCGTTAGGATCAGCTGGTAATTCTATATAAGGACTGTCAGCTTTATCGTAAGAAAATTCTATCGTATCTGAGGGGTTAACCCCGTCTGTCGCTATAGAGGGCGTTGCGAAGGAATACACGGATTCTGATTGGATGCTACTTGGGGTCGGTGGAACCTCTTCGTCATAGGACCTGCTCCGATAAAAAGCCGTGAGAGTGATCGGGAACTTCTTCTTTCTGAAAAAGGCCAATCTTCATTAAAATGCGTACAGAATCATCTCAGTTACGTACTAGACAGAAAACACTTAATTTTCGAAAAGGGTCTTTCTATAGATATGAGGCATAATAAATGAGGCAACCTTTAAATTTTTTTGTGATTATTGTATTACCTCCATTTCCGGAAGCAGAAAAATGAGCAAGCAACCACTACTGCAATACCCACCAAAATAACGGCAATTCCAACAATGACACCTGCAAAGTACATTTAAAACAATCAAATAGGGGCATAACAAACAATATTCAAGCTCAAAAGTCCATTCAAATGATAAGGAGCAAAAAAAAAAAAGAATTCTAAAACACCATAGGTGGGGTAAGGAGCCATGGAGGAGTAACATGCGCGGATCTAGAGGGGGGTCGGGGGCCAGGAAAAAATGTATATACTAAAACAAAGAAAAAATTACCATGGACTCCCCCTGGAAAACGCTGAACCCCCCCCCCCCCCCTGGTAAACGCGAATATGTGTGAAATGGGTATGAAAAGTGAAAGATTTGAGGCAATAGAAGTCACCACTACCCACCCCCCCCCCCCCCCCCCCACCCCCCGGTTGGGGGGGTTTTGGGGGTTTAGTTGGGTTTTTTTTTTTTTTTTTTTTTTTTTTGTTGTTGGTTTTTTTTTCTGCTTGTCAAGACATTTCTGGGTTTGGATTTTTTTTTGACTGGGGTGGACCCCCCCCCCCCCCCCTGGAAAAAAATTCTGGATCCGCGCCTGAGTAAGCATCCCCTGACGACCGGTAACGCCTGCCGTGAGCACCTTGTCATGATTGGAAAAACGAGAAAATCCGTAGAATTCCCAGGGAGGGAAAAATGGTCCAATAACAAATATGAAAAAAGTCAGCATTTGACCTAATGATTGGTTTTAATTGCTGATGTGGTCATCTGTTTTGTTTATAGAATTTGCCAAATTACAACTTCAAACAAGATTTTTGATATCCCTGTTCCGTCAACTTGTAGGCCAGTAGCTTGTCTGGTTTTATGTTGTTTTATGTCCCATTCGAGAATTTTTCACTCAATTTGAAAAGTTGATATAGTACGCAAAATATGCTATTGCGTATCGAAACAACTGGGAGACAAAACCCGATATCCAGGATTTAAGGGTATATTTTTATATACTAGTAAATAAGTAAGAGAAATTGACAAGTGAAACGTTAAATTCATCACATTTATCATAAAGTTTTCTTCCTAGGTTACCGTTAACAACTTTTTTCCCCTAGTAATATATACAAATATGAAACAGTTTGTCACTCTTTTGATTCTTTTACTTCAAGTCCACTCGGATATCGAATCGACATATGGACAGAAATGATAAAATTGTTAATTGATAATACATTGTACATCGTCGACATATCTAAATATCGAGCTGAAGGTCAACCCAAGTGGTTCTTTTTTCTTCTCATATATTATATCTTTAATAAATTCTGCTTCATATGAATACGAAAGTAGGCCTGCTTATAACAGGGGGCAATAGTTACCCATGGGTATTTTAACAGATTGTTGGAAGACCTTGTCTCCAAAACTACATAGATATTGTCAATTAGAAACTAGAGCATCTTTTGAATATAAACTTAAGAATACTTTTGTGTACAATTAGAATGCTTTTAGTAAAATAATTTTGCAAATCACCAATGACAATGTAATGAGATTTTCTTTTCAAATAGATTGTATTATATTAATTTTCTTAATGAATAATTACGCATTTAAAATATTTTAGTTAAATGTGTAATACAATATTAATTAGTCAATATTTCCAACTTAACTATGCTTTGCCAATCAGCGAAATGTAAGGTCACGCATTGCGGATCTGAGTTGTCCACTGGTAAGGGTGCAGGTCTTAATTGTTTGTTGAGGTATTATGTTAAAATTAAATCTAATTTATTTTCTCATCAATTTAACCAACAAAAAAATTCACCAAATCGAAATTTTCATTGAATTATATGACACAAATTTCCTTTTAAAAATTTGACCCAGTTTTACTGACAAAATTCGAATTGCAAACATTTAGTGTTTCGCCAGATGGCAAAAATATTTAGATCTGTGCTTCAAAGAAATGAGCCACATTACACATTACCAAAGGGAATATGCAAAAATTTGAAGAAAATAATCAACATCTTTAATTTAAGGAGTAATTCAGCACAATAAAGTCTTGTAAACTTAAGATCCCATCCCACTATCTAGCATACTCCGACAGAAGAATGACTTACCCACGAGTATGTTGACATCCTTTCCCATCTCAGCTACAAGACTCAAAGTCAACCTTTATATATAGAAATTAAGTTTCCTGACCAATTTAGCACAAACACACACGGAAACAAATCTATTCTCACGATTACATTGAGTTTGGGGATCAACTTCGACCAAATACATCATTTAGATTTGTGAACTTACGAAATTTAATCTGCATTTTTTAGCAACAATTATTTTCAATTTATAATGCTACTTTTGCCTTTGCCCAGGGAAGTCCGCGATAGAAGGACACAGGGTTGTGTTTTGTTTGGATGTACTTCAGGATTTGTGAATGATTTCAGTTCTCCACTCCTCAACAGGAAATGCAGCCCTCTATTGCACACTTGAATATGAATGAATGCCAAAACCCTTCAATAATGCACACATATATTTACGTCCCCGAGATTGCATTCAAGTTTTGATATATCCGTCCTTTTTCGACCCAATATCCTAAAGGCAACATACCCAGAGATTTAAGCTTGCAATTTGGTAACACAATTGATTTTCAATTGCGTTTCAATTACTGTTTTCAGTCTAAGCATTTAGTCATAATCGTTTTTTCTTGTGAAAAATCTTTCAGGTAGTTATGCGAGATATCACCTACTAGTATTCAAATAAGTGATATCAACTTTTCAGCTTTCAATTTTTGAAACTGTAAGTTTCCATTTGAAAAGAAGTTTTAATCGTCTCCTTTTAGGAAACATGCATATTCTGGACCATAACTTCTATTTATAAAAATACCATTCTGACTGTAAACACAAGTACTCTGAAGTTGATTTTAAAGTCATGCTTGAGTTACTAATTGATAATATTTGGGTAGATTTTGGAGACCTAGTCTTCCAATGCAACAATCTGTCGAAAGTCCCGTAAATATTAATTTTGCCCCGTTATTAGTGCTCAGACCTTTTTTAAAAATTATTCAACCTAAAATATTGGAAGAGGACAACACTTGATGTGGTCGTCAACTCCACATTTAGTTACTAGTATATGAACGATGTTCTCCATATCCTTTAGATGTATGTAGAGTTGGTTGCTGGAATGTCCGCACCCTCCACCAGACAGAAAAATTGACTCACGTCCTTAAGGACTTGAACAGGTATAACATCCAAATACTAGGTACATGTGAAACAAGGTGGACAGGAAATGGGACTCGCAAACTTACCTCTTTGTCTGGTTATCAATACTTTACTCGGGAAGAAACGATGAACTGCACAGCAATGGAGTAATCATAATGCTCAGTAGGAAACTAGGAAAGTGTATGTTAGGTTGGAAACCATACAATGACAGACTTCTTCGGCAAGATTCCATTCAAAATATGCTAAGCTGACTGTTGTAGTCTGCTTCTCACCTTCAAAAGACAATAATGAAGAAGAAACTGATTCCTTTAATGAAGAATTGAACAGAGGTGCAGGGGAAACACCAGTTCATGATGTTCTATACTTATACTTGGTGATCTCAATGCAAACGTTGGCACAAGCAATGAGGGAAAAGACACCATAATGGAAAAATATGGCTTTCATGTGATAAACAACAACGGTAGAAGACTAGTAGATTTCTGCCTAGAAAATCATACACAGACCAGATATTTTCCTTGAGGAAAATTTTGGAATAGGGCAATGAATGGAGCACAACGCTGTATGCCAATTTCATCAATGTTGCCATACCTTTTGAAAGGATACATCGTCCTGCTTTATGGCAAATCCTCAGACATTTTGGCAACCCTAACAAAATCATTTTCATTATTCAGACAATAAATACCTCCAGTTAAATGTGATCTGCGGCACAGGACAGACAGAATTCAAACTGGGGTACGACAGGGATGTCTGCTTTCACCATATCTCTCTACTTTCTGCATAGACTGGCTTATAAAAATCACTACTAGTAAGGCTAATGGGGGAATTTCCTAGACATTTCAACAGTCACTGGAAGATCTTGACTTTGCAGATTACATTGCTTTACTAGCACTGCGATATATGAATTTAAGGAACATAACTGATGACCTGGTGAGGTATAGCAGACAAACTGGATTAAATATAAATGTAAACAAAACAAAATTAATGAAGATAAATAAAAAGATAAATAGGGAAGTTACAGCAGAGAACTTAGACAATTTCGAATACCTTGGCAGCAAGATTCATTTAGCCAGTGGAGATTCTACTTTGGACGTTGTAAATAAAATTCCAAAAGCCGCACCACATTTGCAAATTTATGGAACAACTGGAAATATTCAACTAACAGAACCAAAACCAAAATAAAGATATTTAAAACAAAGGTCAATGGAGTCCCCTTTTATGAATCTGAGACATGGAAGGTGACAAACAACATCACTCAATAACTATGCACCTTCCAAACAAGATAAAGATCTCCGTAGTATACTCAAGATATTCTGACCGAACATCATCCGCATCGAGGAGCTGTATGAAAGAACGCACACAGCTGTCATTATAAATATTGAAAATTATCTTCTTAAAAAATATTCTTCTAAGATTATACGAAATTAAAAACACTGTAATGCAAAATTACAGGCACCTGACAAAACTTATCTTTCTTTAATAAAAAAAATATACCCCCTACCTAATTATTAGGTAGGTGCCACGTTTATTTATTTTATTAAAAGGAAAATAAGTAACCCCTGGTGCCTGTGTGCAAAGTATGTCTAGGAAATGTGAAGATATTGTTCAAAATGACATCATAGATGTACACCTACTGCTATGGGGCAATGAAAATCTTTCAATTGAAGTAAACATTGGCATTTTTGCCGCTGTTCATAAATTTATAAATGAGTCTTATAGATTTAGCTAAATATATTATTTACTCTTATTTGTACACATTTTTGATATTATTTTGTATGGCAATTATATGTGTTTTTTAAGAAGAAGAACTAGTAAGTTGTTAGAACTTGTTTCTTATCCTCTTGCTTGTCAATAAAATATGTTCAAAACAAAACAGGAATTTTATTTATTTTAAATGTTTCATTCCCCCTTTGGTATCTATTCTTGAGATGGGTCATTTATTCAGTCTTCTAAACTACTACACGTATTTTACTTCATAGCGTGCAATTTTTTTAATCGATCTAAAGAGAAATTATTAACAAATAATGCTTAGGAAAAAAGCACCTGTTTTTATCCAGCTGCCCGTAATGAGTAAGAGCATTATATACCTGTAGTCCTGTACGTGTCTTCTGTCATTTTTATCCGCTTTAATTAAGACTCTAGTCATTATCCTTTTCTCTCCGTGTAATATTCCTTATTAATCTGATGAGCACTCTTATATTTAAAGAAGAGATGACAACTTTGAACAAATTATTATGAGATGGGATAAAGCTTAGTATACACGGGTACTCGGATCTGTACATTGGATTGTTTGATCGGTGAAAAATAAAAACTTTATCAGATTTTTTTTTCAAATCTTATTTATGTTATTTGTTTGTTTAGGTTTTAATTTATGCATGCTGTTATACATTTCATGTGCTTTCTTTTAATTGTTCAGCCCATTAAGCAAAGAAATGTTTATCCTTCTTCCTGTTCTTATTTTTATGCGCCCGCATCGAAAGATCCGAGGCGTGTATTGTTTTTGTCCTGTCTGTCTGTCTGTCTGTTTGTCTGCAAACTTTAACCTTCGCCATAGCTTTTGAACCATGAATGATAGAGACTTCATATTTGGTATACCTACTCCACTAATGAAACTCTTTCAAATGACACCAAGGTCAATGACCTTGCGACCTTGACTGTGACTTATATGCTAAAAATAGGGGTTTTTGCAAACTTTAACCTTTGCCATAACTTTTGAACCATAAAAGGTAGAGACTTCATATTTGGTGTACATACAACACTTATTAAGCTTTTTTAAAAGACACCATGGTCAATGACCTTGTGACCTTGACTGTGACCTATACGCTAAATATAGTTTTTTTGACGGCAAACTTTAACCTTCGCCATAACTTTTGAACGAAGAAAGATAGAGACTTAATAATTGACATGCATACTCCACTAATGAAGCCCTTTCACATGACTCCAAGGTCAATGACTTTGTGACCTTGACTGTGTCTTATATGCTAAAAATAGCTTTTTTGAACCTTCACCATAACTTTTGAACCATGAGAGATAGACTTCATATTTGGTATGCATACTTGAACAATTAAGCTCTATCAAATGTCACCAAAATCAATGACCTTGTGACCTTGACTGTAACCTTTATGCTAAAAATATGTTTTTTTTTTCAACTTTGTTGCCGCCGGGCACATAGTGTTTCACAAACACATCTTGTTACTTGTTGCAGAAGACCCAAAACACGAAGTACTCATAGCTTGGAGTATTCAGTTGCAGTAATTGTAGATAATCCATACACAATGAACTCATAAATGTCACAAGACATTGAAAATTCATTTTATATCCGAATTTATAATGTAACATATCTACTTTTGGATAGCGTGCTAAGCAATGGGCCAATAATTGCACTTTAGATAAACTTTTGAAATTTTGATATTTGGTCCTTAATATTTAGTTTTCAAAAGTTAAATGCTTTAAATGAACAAACATGCTGTACATGAAGAAAGAGCATGCACATATATGCAGGGTACATTTATATGCGATATTTTGGAAATATGACATTATGTATATGTCACATAGACAAATTTACAGGAAATATGCACCCCCTCCCTTTCCCCATTTCAGAATTTGGAGTGGTTTGACTTTTTTATATGCACAGATCGATAGATCCGGGGTGCATATTGTTTTTGTCCTGTTTGTCTGCAAACTTTAACCTTCGACATTACTTCTGAACCATGAAAGATAGAGACTTCATATTTGGTATGCATACTCCACTAATTAAGCTCTTTTAAATGACACCAAGGTCAATGACCTTGTGACCTTGACTAAGACCTATATGCTAAAAATAGCTTTTTCGTACCTTCCCCATAACTTTTGAACCATAAGAGATAGAGACTTCATATTTGGTATGCATACCCCACTAATCAACTTCTTTCAAATGACACCAAGGTCAATAACCTTGTGACCTTGACTGTGCCTATATGCTAAAAATACCTTTTTTTCGAACTTTGTTGCCATTGGGTGCATAGTATTTCACAAACACATCTTGTTTCATTTTTAAATACTTTCTTTTAAACATCATGTTTTCAACAGTAAATTTTGTGTTTGGAAAAAAGGGGCAGACCCCCTTGCCTCCCCCTTCTTAATTTAACTGCATAGAAATTCTAATACTTACCAACATCAATCATTAAGAATACAAGAAAATACAAATA